ACCCGAATACAAAAATTTTGTGTCGGGCTCGGATCGTGTCTGCAGGTCATTTCATACACTGCCACCCGTACAATGTATTTTTGTGTCTGGAGGATTAGCATATGGCCTACTGGACATGAAGACTAAAGTCTATTTTTTTTTAATTTCTACATAAATTATATTGTGGTCAAAAAATGGATTTTTACAGTGGATTAACCAATTTTTTTTATTCCTCTTTCTTCTCCTCCCCCCAGGCTCCACCGATTCTCGTATGTGTGCAAAAAATAAAGTCTACATTTATATATTGGGTATGTTTGATTGTGTTATGAATTTTTTTATTCTTAAAACTGTTTTGTAGAATAGTTATAAAAATAGTTGTTTTCTTTGCTTTTTTTTTGTTTTGAAAGTTAAAAAAAAAAATAGAAAACAAAAATAACCGAGATATGTTTTCTAAATTTGATTCTAAAAAAAAAAAAAAATAGTTTCAGTATTTAATTTTTTTTAACAAAACATGTCTTACCAACCAGCTTCTTTTTGTTCTGAAAATCAAAAAATTATTTTTGAAAAACTGATTTCAAACAAACCTATTATCTCTCTATTTTCATTTTTCTATTTTTCTTATGTGCGTTAACTTATTTTTTGTCAATTTAACGTATCATTTAAATAAAGGTAAATATTCATATTTGCTCATTTTAAAAATAAGGCTAAATTATAATTTACCACCCTATACTTAGACTCTGATTCAGAAAACCACTCTATACTTTTAACTGAAATAATTAACCTTCTCAAACTATATTATTAAAGCAATTAATTAAGCATATATATTAAAAGAAACATCCAACTTTGTAACTATCTAATGTGATGACAGAAAAAATTCCTATCTTGTTTTATAAAAATCAAGAATTGTTCTATTTCTATTTCCTGATCACCATATCATTTGTTTTGTTTTTGGGAAGGGTTTAAATCTTTAATTCTGAGACCCGCCTCGAATCAGACTAGTCACGAAGCGATAAGTCGATTGAAATATCTTCAAAAAAATCCCACTTTCCAACGGATGCTTTTTCATTAGGTTAATTATATCGATTTATAAGTGATGATAATTTTTCTGACAATATATATATATATATATGCTTTTTTTGTTTGGTAAAAAAAAAAGTAATATCTAGTTGGTTTTTGGTTTGTAGTTCTTTACATCTGTTCTAGTCAAATATAATTCCTATAAATTGTTTTTTAAAATTACTAGTCTTATGTTTCTATTAAATTTTTCTGGCATGTTTAAGTTAAAATGTTTCTATGTTGTGCCTCCATCACCGTTATCAGCAATAGCTTCTTGATAACCTTTCATGACTTCCTATACATTTTCATGTTCCTTTGGAGTTTTCTTGAGCTTGGTCTCTCATAAGAGGTTTTCCAATTGGCTTAACAATAAAATGATGTTTCTCTTTTCTTCTTAAGGCTTAGTAGATTCCCACCAAATACATCTTTGAGAGGGACGAAGAGTTTTAACTGTAATTAAGCTCCAACTTGTTTCAAAGTCGATTCAAAAAATTAAAGCTTGTAAAGATAACGAGCAACCGACTCATCTCAAAGAGATAATTAGGATAAATATTAAAAAAGAGTCAAAAAGCATAGTAAAGTGGGGAGTTTATAAAATTAAATTTTTTTGGCTTGTCAGTTTCTAAAAATTTAAGTAATAGTATAATTTTTTTTTGTTATTTATTGTAACTTAAAAATTATCTAATTTATTTATCGTTTGATAAGTTTCTGATTGAAAACTGATAGAAAGTGATTTTTATACTAAATATGGATTGTCGTTTCTTTTGTTCGTAGATAATTTTTCTTTATTTCTATTTCCATGTACTAATATAAATAAATAAAAATTTCCCCGTCTCTTTCTCATGTGTATATTCCCGCCTCTCTTTAATTTTTATGTTTTTATGAAGTTGGACATATATAAGCTAAGATTAAACAATGTGCTATTGAAATTTTTTTTGGATATTAGGGACAAAAACCAAGCAACAAACTACCTAGGGATAGTTGAGGGATCCAGACCACCCAACAAATTAATCCCTTTCAACAACAACCTACAATTCAGAGGAACATTGGGGAAAATATCAACATCCCAAAACCTATGATCCACCTTAGAAGCTAGCCAATTAGCCACTTCATTTCCTTCACTGTTTATATGAGCTATCATGACTCTCCAAGGTCTAGCAACCATATCTTGGATTTTTTTAACCAACGAACCAAGAGGACGATCATCAGTGCTTCCTTCCAGCATCAGGTGGATAGCTTCAGTTGAATCACCTTCAAGTTGAATCTGTCTAAACCTATGGTCCCAAGCTACTTGGAGGCCCACTAAAGCTCCCCAAAGCTCAGCCTTTAGAGCATTACTATGACTCACCTTCTTCGTAAAACCCATCAACCATCTCCCATCACTATTCCTCAAGACCCCTCCACAGCCACTATGCATTCCATCAAGAGAGCAAGACCCATCAGTATTAACTTTGATCCAGTCCTTTAAAGGAGGACTCCAACTGACACAAATATCATCCTTACGACTCGAGCAGATATCAGCCTCAACCAGAGTTTTCTCAGCATGAATTACATTATGGACATACATTATGATCTTATGACACATGGATTCAATACTACTCACATCCTTTTTAAAGACAAAATTGTTTCTAGATTGCCACAACATCCAGCAAGTGACACCAAAGATAAGACTCCAATTCTGATCCTGACTACAATCCTTACTCTTTCTCAAATTGGTATGCACCCAATCCAAAAAACTTCCAGAGAAAAAAGAATTATACCTGGCTTTAACAATATGACCTTTCCAAATCTGATTAGCCCAGTAACAGTCTCTCATCACATGGCAGCAGTCTTCACACGGACAGAGACATCTAGGACAGTGAGCATCATCCCCCATATGTCTCATGCATCTGGTCTCATTAGTTAACAGATTATTCCCTAAGAAAAGCCATAAGAAATGTTTAATCCTCTCTGGACCCTTCCAATCCCAAGCCAAATCCCAAATCTGACTCTGACTCTGATTCTGCAGATAAGACACTTCATTTCTGATAGCCAAGTAAGATGATTTAACAGAAAAAATCCCATTGCTAGAGTGTCTCCATATGATCCTGTCCTCACCCTCTTCCTCCTTGGGAGGCTCAATCTTGGCTATAATTTCACAAACATCTTCAGGAAGGAACAAATTGAACTTATCCCAATCCCAGTCCCCCTCTTGGTTTACACAACAAGCCACTTCCCATAAGCTAACATCTTCAGGAATAGGCCTGATAGCTTTCTCTCTGAGCTTCCCCAGACCAGGCACCCAGTTATCACACCAGAATTTAACTTTTCTACCATTACCAATCACAATTCTAGATCCTGCTAAAATAAAGTTCCAGGAAGAGCAAATACCCCTCCAGATATTACTAGCATTGACATGTTTCGAAGCATGAGGCAGGATCTCATCCTCCAGTTTGTATTTATTTCTCAAAATTCTAGCCCATAAGGCATCCTTGTCCACCAACAGCCCATAGCCCACCTTCATCATAAAGGCTTGATTAAAAGCTCTTAAATCCCTTAACCCAACACCACCATACTGTTTGGGAGAGCACATTCTGTCCCAGTTGACAAGATGGACTCTTTTCCTATCCTTGGAAGAGCCCCAAATAAAACCACGAGTAAGCTTCTCAATATCATCACAAACATTTTTTGGTAACCTGCCAGTTTGCATAGCATAAGTAGGCATAGCAAATAGCACATATTTTGCCAAAGTTAATCTCCCAGCTAGAGATAAGGACTTAGCATTCTAAGCATTCAGTCTATTTTTCACCCTATCCAACACATGCCCAAAAGAGGTTCTGTTAACTCTAGAGTGATTCAGCATCACTCCCAGGTATTTCCTCAAGTATGGAGTAATTCCAATTCCAAGGCAGTCACTAATCTCCTTAGCTCTGCCAAAACTCACATTCTTAGAGAAAAAAAACTCTAGTTTTATCCTTACTCACTCTCTGGCCAGAACTCATAGCAAACACTTTAAGGACCTGATTGTTAATATGGGTCTGATCAAGAGAAGCTTCAGCACATAATATGATATCATCCACAAAAAATAAGTGGGATATAGGAGGCCCCTTCTTCCCAAGAGAAATTGGTTTCCAAGCTTTAGCCTCAATGGCAACTTGGATTAAATGCGCAAGTCTTTCCACACAAAGAACAAAAAGATAAGGGGATAGAAGATCTCCTTGTCTTATTCCACAGGAAGGTTTAAAATACCTAGTAGGCTGCCCATTCCACAACATATTGAGCTCACTGGTCCTGACACATTCATCAATTAAAGAAATCAGGCCAATTGGCAACCCCATATCTTTAATTGTCTCATGGATGAACTCCCAACTAAGCCTATCATAGCCTTTATCCAAATCAACTTTAATCATCATCCATCCATGTTTCCCTTTCCTCCTTCTCATTGAATGAATAATCTCTTGAGCCACTATAATATTGTCTACACTTTGTCTTCCTTTAACAAAAGCACACTGGTTAGGGGTAACCCAATTAGGCATCCAGCCTCTTAATCTCTCAGCAATCAGCTTGGTAACAACTTTATAAGTAACATTACACAAGCTTATGGGTCTGAACTCTCTCATACACTCAGGGTTTTCCTTCTTAGGAATCAAACAAAGATGCGTTTTATTAATTAAATGCACCTTAGTTGAATCCTCAAATATACCCTTGACAAGATCACAGACATAATTACCAACTATATGCCATTGGGTTTGAAAGAAAGCTACATTCAATCCATCAGGGTCTGGAGCCTTAAATCTGTCCATTCTAAACACCACTCTTCTGATCTCTTCTGCAACAGGAGCCCTGGCTAAATTCTTCAATTCTATCTCCTCCATCTTAGGAAAAGCTCCTTTTATAGGGAACCCCTCATACCCATCATCTTCAGCAAGAAATAAATTTTCAAAATAATTCACTGTTATCTCCACCATCTCCTTTGTATCAGAGGTTCAATCACCAAGCTCATTTTTGATTGCAACCACTTTGTTAAACCTTCTTCTAGCAACAGTAGAAGAGTGAAAAAACTTTGAATTTTTATCCCCAAATTTCAGCCAATTGACTCTAGATCTTTGGAACCAATTTAGCTCTTCCCTAAGCAAAATTTTCTCCAAATCTTTCCAAAGATCTCTCTGCAACCTCTCAAGCTCTCTGTCATATCTGTCTTCCAACTGCAAATCCAGACCTTGTATTCTAACATAAATTCTATGCTTCTGTCTCATTTCCTCTCTAAAGACGTCATGGTGCCATCTAGTTGCCTCTTCCTCAAAAACATCCCTAGCATCCAACCAATCCACATCCTTCTCCCAACACTTCTTAACCAAGTTCCCAAAGTCAGAATTTGTAAGCCAAGCAGCTAAGAACTTGAACTGTTTCCCACTCTTATTGTCATGGAAATCTTTGTAGCAACTTAAAAGGATCGGCTTGTGGTCCGAGTTAAAGTAAGGGAGATGCCCTAACACTCTATTAGGCCAGGCTAAGTTCCAATCCTCATTAGCAACAACTCTATCAATTCTTTCTTGTAAACTTCCCCTTCTCCAAGTGAATCTTGGGCCTTTAAACCCTATATCTGTCATTCCACAAACCTCAAGACACTTATGCATCTCCTGAACACTTCTCCAACAAATCTCTTTACCTCCACACTTCTCAGAAGAACCCAAGACAGAATTGAAATCTCCCAGGATCACCCAGGGAGAATTAATAGCACCAGCCAGCAACTCCATATCCTCCCAAAGGCTGATTCTCTCAATCCTCCTAGGGCTCCCATAAACAAAAGTAACTAACTCCCACCTCCTATCTTCAATATAAAAAGTTCTAGTATGAACATATTGATGGTGGGATTGAATAATCTCCACCTCAACATCTCTGCTATCCCACAGAACCCAAATTCCTCCAGAAAAGCCCACAGCTTCCTGTTTGAAAAACTTAGGGAATCCCAACTTCTTTATAATTGTATCCCCTCTGTCACCCTGAATCTTAGTCTCTAATAAGGCCAACACTTTAATATTAATCCTATATTTAAAGTCTCTAATTAGAGCAGGAAATTCTCTTTTCCCTACTCCTCTATAATTCCAAGAACAAATATTCATAAGGAAAACTATATACAAAAAGTGACAGAAACTGACCTTAGCTAACCAAAACATTGGTTAATTGCTAATGCCCATGGCATTTGTGATATCATCCAAAGCCATAGCAACTCTCCCATCTAGGAAATCCTTATGATCTTCACTACTTCCATCAGGAGGGTTCTCTTTATGACCAGGAATTGATTGGTTAGTTATCTCCATCTCGCTCCTTTTTAACAATTCAACTCATGAGCTACTGGTTAAGACTTTAGCTCCAGAAACAGCCTCAACCTGCATACTCCCCTTATTCCTTCCCCTTTCAATCGGAAGAGCTTCCCTCAAAGGCTTCTTCTGTGTGGTTCCCCTAGAGCTCTCCTGAGGGACAAAGCTAATTGGTTTTTTCCCCAAACCTTTGGATTCATCTCCATGCACTTGCCTGGCCAAGTTATTCTCTGTATTATTCTTCTTTTTCTTTCCACCCTGACTTTTTTTTGGTTGGCTCGATTCACCTGAAATCTTACTGTTACTCGTTCCAGCCCCTTTGGGATTATCATTACTTCTAGGAATTCTCTCTTCTGACTCTCCTTCTAAAGGACCAAACCTAGAACCAGTGGCATGATCCTTAGAAAGAAGACCACTCTCCTCTGAATTAGATTTCTCCTTGCTCACAGGGCCTTCCTTAGATTTCTGGTTCTGAGCAGGTCTTTTAAAATTTCTTCTCTGGACAGTCATCCAGTTCTCAAAACCATCTACTTCTTGACTCTTCTCAATTCCTTCCTTGGGGTTAGCCTCATTCTGGTTGTGGTTCGGTTGATTACAGTGATCCACTCCCCTAGAAACTTCCTCTACCTTCTTCAAATTGTCAGGATTCATTTGGCATTGATCCTTCCTATGCCCATATTTACCACACAAGAAGCATATTAGATGAAGTCCCTCATACCCGATATACAACTGTCTTTGGCCTAGTCTAAATTTTGAGAGTAGGTTTTTGCTCAAGTCAATTTCCACGCAAATTCGGGCAAACCTTCCCCTATCAGTGATCTCCTCGAGTTGTCCTTGACCACTAATCCTGAGAGAGCTTTCATCAATCCTCAGGGTTTTCCCCACCATATTCCTCATTCTCCATAGGTCTTTATGAGTATAGAACTCCCTAGGAACCCATGGAATTCTGATCCAAACCGCCATCTTCCTCATTCTATCATCATAGGGGTCGAAGTTGGGTCTCCATCTCTGCACTATGAGATAATGATCAGCCACCACCCACGACCCCTGTTGTTGAACGAAGAGATAGTCCTTTGTTTTTTCAAACTCGACCATATAATGATCATTTTCCAGATCTAAAACCCTATACTCCCCTTCTAGGTTCCAGAGCTTATGTAATTTATTCCACAAGAATCTCGCACCTAACCTCTTCCCCATAAGCTTAACTATCAACGCCTTCCTCCATCTCTTGCATTGCTCAAGTTTTTCCAGCACATCGAATTGGTAGAACGGATTTAAAAGATCGTCCTCCCTTTTCTGCTCATACACCTTCATAGTCTCTTCTTCCTCGAGCTCCTCTCTTTTGCATTCCGCCAACCAATCGTCCTCTTCATTCTCAAGATTACCATCCCAAACACCATTGACACGAAGGAGTTGATCCTTATAGGAAACCAGCTTCCTAGGATCTCTCTTCACTTCCTCCTCCGCTTCGAACCCCACTCCAGTTCCTTCTACCTCAATTGGTATAGATTCGTTTCCCCCTTCAGCCTCCATTGCGCCTACAATCAGAGGTTCCACCTACATCTCCAGATCCACCACCGGTTCACCCTTCGCCTTCTTAGAATCCCTGTTATTTGATGAATCCCCCTCAGATTTAGGGGGTCTTCCCCCTTTTCCCACCTTAAGCCGCGAAAACCCTAGCATAGCAGAATAAAGAATTTCACGTGCCTCACGCGCTCAATTCAGAATCTATCTTCGCAATAGTGCTATTCAATATTAGAACAGTCAAAAACAAACTTTTAGACTAACTATTTATATTTTAAAACTAGATCAAATATATGATATTTTATGTAACTGGTTTAATTTGAATAGCTCAAAACTTTTTTTTTTGATTATCCAAATACCTCCAAATTTGAGCAAATTTCAAAATTATTTGGTTGTCTCAAACATTTGATTTTGAATTATTTAATATTATTTTTTAAGAAAAAGCTTGATATATCTTCAAATTTTACTTAAATAGTTTATAAATGAAATTATAAATAGTCTTGTTTATTTTAAAATATATATTATGTATCTTTACAATGACTTTTCCGCCTCCAAATATTACCGCTAGAAGCGGCTCAAATCAAAACGAATAGGGAGAGATAGGTATTTGTCTTTGGTGACGAAAGTTATCAAAATGATCAAAATAGGAAAAAATGGTTGACTCGAGATTTAATCAGTTAAATATCCCTCTTAATCGATTAAATCTTATATTTAATCGATTAAATATCTCAAATGAGCGTGAAAACATTGATTGATTAAATCGTTGTATTATACTCGCCTCGCCGACACTTGTTTCAAGAACATATGGACATGCGTTTGAGATTCATCACAAAAATCTCATTTGTAGTTTTGCTAACACAAGCATGTAATTCCAATCAGAGTTTTCTTGCCTAGTGGGCTTGACGCAACAGTAAAACAGGCTTTTGAATTTAAAGATAACCTTGGTCCTGGTTGTATTTCTCAAATGAGTTGAAACTCATTGATGGTAGGAAGTATACTATTAGAATAAAAGCTTGCTGGAAACTGAATACTCATATTGTATTGATTCAGAAGGAAATGAAATACAAGAGGCCATCTATATATGAGCCATAGCAAGAAGGAAACGTAATAGAAAAAGGGTGTAACCACGTGATCACCCCAGGTGCAAAACAGAAACAGCTAAAATAAAATGTACACCCTCAGCAGCAAGTTAGTTACAACCAAAAATAGCAAATAATAAAGAAAATAATGCTAATAGGCCCCCTCAAGATGAAGAGTATATATTTAAGACTCCCATCTTGGACAACAAAGCAGAAAACTGAGAAGGCAATAATGATTTGGTAAGAAGATTAGCCAATTGCTTGGAAGAGGGAACTGGAAAAGTCTTCAAGTGCCCTTTGAGAATATGCTCACGTACAATGTGACAGTCAATCTCAATGTGTTTAGTGCGTTCATGGAACACAGGATTGGAAGCCAAGTGTAATGCAGACTGATTATCACAGAAAAGGTGAGCATGCCCATTATGAAAAAAACAGAGGTCTTTAAACAGATAAAAGAGCCACAACAGTTCACATGTAACATGAGCCATGACACGGTATTCAGCTTCAGTGGATGATCTTGATATGGTTTGTTGCTTCTTAGATTTCCATGAAATTAGAGAGTCACTAATGAAAACACAAAATCCAGAAATGGAACGAAGACTATCCGGACATGCAACCCAGTCAACATCATAGAATGCATTCAGTTGAAGAGAAGCAGTAGAGGAATAAAACAAACCTTGTCCAACCGTGCTTTTGACATAACTAAGGAGACGGTGGACAACCTGAAGATGGGGTTCACGAGGAGCAGCCATAAACTGACTAAGAAGATTAACAGCATAAGAGAGATCGGGCCGAGTAATAGTGAGGTAGATGAGATGACCAACAAGACGTCTGTACACAGAGGGGTCAGGAAGCAAATCACCAGAATCATATGAGAGTTTGAGACCAACCTCAAGAGGAGTAGAACGCGGTTTACAGCCCATATGACCAAAATCGTTGAGTATTTGTAAAGCATAATGCCGTTGACAAATAGAATTACCTCTTTTGCTACGTGCAACTTCGAGGCCCAAAAAATATTTTAAATCACCAAGATTTTTCAACTTAAATTTGCTGTGTAAGAGAGCAGTGAGGTGCTGCACTTCTGAAGAATTATTAGAAGCAATAATGATGTCATCCACATAAATTAAAATTGTAATGAAGGCAGTAGATAAGGAACAAACAAATAAAGAATAATCAGAGTGGGATTGAGAAAAACCCAAATTCAACAAAGTAGCCGAAAACTTTGCAAACCACTGCCTTGAAGCTTGACGAAGACCATATAGAGATTTGTGTAGCCTGCAAACAGCATTCGAAGGCAAAACAAAATGTGGAGGAGAACATCCAAGAGGCAAAGTCATATAAACCTCCTCAAGTAAGTCCCCATGGAGGAATGCATTATTGACATCTAATTGGGTAAGGGACCAATTATTGACAGCAGCCAAAGCAAGAAGAACACGGACAGTTGTTATTTTAGCCACTGGTGAAAAAGTTTCCAGAAAATCAATCCCTTCCTGTTGACTGAAACCCTTAGCAACTAAGCAAGCCTTATAGCGCTCAAGAGAGCCATCCGAATTGTATTTGACCTTGTAAATCCACCGACAACCAACTGCCTTCTTCCCTGGAGGAAGAGAAACAACATACCATGTACAATTGGTTTCAAGGGATGAAATCTAAGCAGCCATAGCAGCCTGCCATTCCGGTAATTGGGATGCTTGAGAAAAGGTAGTAGGCTCAAAATGGGAAGATATTGAATTCAAAAAGGCAGCATGAGAGGAGGATAGACGATCTTAACAAAGAAAATTAGATAAGGGATGATGGGTGGAAAGAACAAACAAAGTTAGAGAGGTGAGCTGGAGGTTGCCTAACTCGTGAGGGTTTGGAAATTGCAGAAGATGGGAAATTGGGTAAAGGAGTGGGATTTGTAAAAGTGGGTGGTAGGTGAGAAAATTCAGTGGAAAATGAGGAAAGTGTGTGAGTCATATCAAAGGGAAAAATATGTTCAAGGAAAATGACATCACGAGAAATAAAAGTTCTATTGGAGGATAAATCCAAGAGTTTATACCCATTGTAACCCGCAACATATCCAAGAAAAATAGATGGCAGAGCACGAGGAGAAAACTTATAGCGGGTTTTTGGAAGGGTGGAGCTGTAACATAGGCAGCCAAAAACTCGGAGATGATAATAGGAAGGTGATTTATGGCAACGTAACTCAAAAGGGGTTTTGAAACCAAGAAGAGAAGATGGTGTTCGGTTAATGAGGTAAACAACAGTGGAAACACAGTCTTACCAATACTGGAGGGGAACTTTGGATTGGAAATGAAGGGCACGGGCTACATTGAGGAGGTGCTGGTGTTTTTGTTCAACCACAGAGTTTTGCTGAGGACGATCGACACAAGAGTGAAAAATTTGAATTCCTTTAGAGGAAAAGAAGGATGACAGATTGAGCTCAGAAGCATGATCACAACGAAGGGACTTAATTGGAACCTTATGCTGAGTAAAAATCAGATTATAAAAGAAGGGAAAAACAACAGAAAAGTCAGATTTATTACTCAGAAAATAAGTCCAAGTAAACCTAGTTGAATCATCAACAAAGGTAAGAAAATATTGAGAACCTTCAACAGAGACAGTGTTAAAGGGGCCCAAATGTCACAATGGATAAGATCAAAGGGGGAAGCAGCAAGTTTGGGATCTAAAATAAATGGGAGGTGCTTTTGTTTCGCCAAAGGACAAACAGAACAATGGTGATCAACATGCCAGCAATCAGTAAAACCCAAAATAGTTTTCATTGAATTTAAAATGGAATGAGAAAGGTGACCCCATCTCGAATGCCAGAGAACATTATTTTTAGCAGAAATCAAAAAACATAAGGGGTGGGGAACATAATCAGTGGGAAAAAGATTGGTGGTATACAAAATATAAAGGTCACCGAGGCGTTTAGCAATCCCAATCATCCTTCCCGAAGCGTGGTCCTGAAGAAAACAAAGAGAAGAAGAAAAGTTAGCTAGGATAGGAGAATCACAGGTCAAAGCACTGATGGAGAGAAGGTTGAAAAAGAAAGAGGGAACGTATAAAACGTTAGAAAGAATGAGAGAGTCAGAAATCAAAATGGGTCCTACAGAAGAAACAACAGCTGAGGAACCATTAGGGAAGGAGACGGAAGAAGCAGAAGAGGAAGAAGAAAGAAATAGATAAAGTTTGACACAAACATGGTGCGTAGCACTAGTGTCTAAAACCCAATAAGAAGGAGGAAAAGAGAGGGGATGCTTACCATTGAGACTAGCCACCGAAGGAGATGAATCGGTGACAAAAGAGGTGGTAGACGAAAGAGACAGTGATAGAGTAGACGATGCAGAACTCTGTTGGAGGAGCAAAATCAGTTGGTTGTATTGGGATGGGGTGAAGGCAAGGGGAAAATCTAAGGTATGAAGATTAGGGTTCAGATTAGTGGTAGGTTTGGGAAAAATGGGATGGTGAGGGGAGGCTGAAACAATAGAATGGGCTTGGGCCGTGGGTTGGGCTGGCTTAGTAAACGAGTTAGACTTCTGGACTCTAGGTGTGTAGCCTGGGGGATACCCATTAAGCTTGAAACAGTTTTCACGTGTGGCCTGAAAGATGGCAATAGGTGCAAATCGGACGGCGGCGTTGGATGGCAGCAACCGTAGGCGGTGGAGAGGAAACAATCGGAGAAGAGTTGTGTACAAAACTAAGGAGAGAGGAGTCCGGAATGGCAGGCGACGACAAGGAAAGTGACAATTGGCGCTGACGTTCTTCTTGAAGAATCATTGAGAAGACCTTAGCAAGTGGAGGTATGGGATCTATCATCAAGATCTGAGCACGCAAAGCAGAGAATGAATCATTGAGTCCAATTAGAAATTGGGGAACATGATCCTGCTCCCGATGAGAATGAATGTGATGAAGAACTCCACATGTACAGGAAGGCAGAGGAGCATA